AGGCAGATTGTACGCCCTTTCTTTGGGGATATACTTGCTCTCTTGTCAATGCAGATCTGCTATCAAGCTTGGAGGGTCGCACAGCCTGTTCTAGTCCAGGTGTTCACATGCCCGTAAAGGTACACTTTCAAGATGGGCTTGCCACAGCCAAGGAAGGCCATGTCAGCAGCTTGGCAAGTGTGTTTTCCTTTAGATAGGCCAGCTCATGTTTTTATAACCAGCCATAAGGGGCCTTGCGACTAGCAGCAAAGTTTCTCCCAGTAGCTACCTATTTGTCTGCTACTGCAGATATCTCCGATCTGGTACCTGGGTGATGATGAAGGTTATGGAAAATGAAGGGAGTGATGCATGTAGATGGAGAACAATTGATGCTGGTGAAAACAGTGTTCAAGGGAAAAATTGTTCAAGGGAAAAAGAGGCTTGCTGTTTTGCGTAGTTTAACTGCACATTGTTTTTATACAGTTGCCAGATTTTTTTCTTTGTTTAATTTTTAATTGTCCCTGATCTGGCAACTGGTCAAACTGACCCTGGGAATCAATGCAGAGTCAACGCAGAGATGGTACAATAATTCCTGGGGATGAAGATTGTATTCTTTGTTCATCCCTTTCTTCACAGTACGGACTGGTGCTGTAAAGCCACAAGATCCCTGTATGTGTGTGTTTTAAGTGTGCCTTAAGAGACTTTCTGCTGCTTCAGGTCCTTACACTGAAACACCTGCCTCTCCAAATGCTAGGAAGCTACATTTGGCGCTTCTGTTGAATGTGTGTGCGGTGTGCACATAGACGGTGAGAGAGCACATTTGATTCTTTTAAAATCTTTTCCTGAGACAGTAAATTTAACTCCTGCTGAGAGCCAAAGTAATTGCCTGATGCAGACTTTTTAAAGACAAAACAAAAACACACAGAATCCTTTAAATGGTTTATCATTGCTTTCTTCTTTTATTTTTCCCAGTGTTTGCTGATCTGTAGAACTAAATGTGAAAGGATGTAAATGTAAAATTGCTAGTGTCTTTATCATAAGAAGGCTCCCATAAATTGTGCCTTCTACTTAGGGCTGATATTCAACATCATATGGATCTTATGCTTTTGCTGAAGTAGTGGTGAGGATAATTAAGCTGTGATTTATCAATATTTTTATTACATCGGCTTGGCATGATTGCCTTCCTCTCCATACTTATTGGCAGGACTGAGGAAAGATGACTGAATCAGTGTTCAGGTCCGAAAATACTGTGGAAGTTCAAGGTTGTCTATTAAAGTTCACTTAATTAAAGCAATTTATATTCACCTTTGCTTTCCAGGGGACATGCAGCCATCGTTTTGACAACTTTGATTTCTATAATGTAGGAAAAAATGCCTTTTTTAAAAAAAAGAGTCACGCTTTACTCGTGCAATCCTTCCGGGATTGCTTTTGCAAAAAGGAGCAACCATTTTAGCTCACACTTTGCAGAATGAATATACCATGCCATTTTAGCTCACACTTTGCAGAATGAATATACCATGCACACATAAAGCCTGTAGGATAAAGTGGAGTGTGTGTGTTGCTGTGATTGTGGATCTCAACAGGATATTATCATGTCAGGCCATTTTGGTTGCCTAAGCATAGATGTTTTGTCTCTACACCCACAAAGGACTAGCAGCTCCAAATGCAATGTTTGCATTTTGAATGCTGAATGTTTTTTCAAGTACTGATAAATGCTCTTCTGAATCCAGCTGCAGCTAGGAAGAATGAGCTCTAGAAAGGGAGTGAAATGGAAACTTCTGAGTGAGTGGCTTTACGGTGGACTTCTCAAAGTCTTCATGTAATATTTTGTCACACAAAATACTACCTATTATTTTCACACATCCAGCTTTCTGTTACACAGAGAACATTTCATTGAAAAAGAACAGCTGGCCAGATGCCCTGTGGCCACCTAAGGTGAACAACTAATGAGTGGATGAAGCAGTGTCATCTAGCTTGGACAGGAGTCCTTCTTTACATGCAACAGTCCTCCCTTCTGGAGAAGTAGTTTGGAGATGTCCCCTATTGGATGGGCTGTTTAGTGCAAGTCCGGTATAAAGAATCACAAGGGAGGGCCCTGGGGGTGATGGTGCCCATCCACAGTTGGCATCTGGACAAGCAACTGATGCCCAGGCTACCTGATCACAGAATTCTCTACTATGGTGGGATATATTGCCCTGTTTTTTGGTTAGCATTTCTAAATGCGCACCTATCTGGCAAATGTTAAACAAATTGGTGTCTTCTTTCTCTCCTGTTTTTTGGTCTCTCTCTCTGTCTTGTTCGGCAGTGTCCATCCTAAGCTCCATTCCTATTTTAGGCTTGCTCCAACTTTCTTTCATGGACAATCAATAGCCACTAGCCATAGTTCTTTAGGATAGCTCTGGGACTGGAGGCAATTTGGTTGGATTGGATGCTAGCTGCTGGGAAGCATGAGTGGAAAAAGTCTGTTGCCTTGAAATTTAGTTTCTAACCTTCCTAAAGGCTTCAGGTTCTAGATTTCCAAGGCCTCTTGGAGAAGACATCTTCACTGGACTCCTTTCAAACCACCTTCTCTCTACCATGTCACCAGCTCCCTTTGCTTCTCATTCTCTTTCTCATGTGGTTCCTCAACAGGCAGTGAGAACCTAGGCAGTGGTGCTGTTTTCCTCCACTGTTGTGGGCCAGAGAGAGGGGCAGGCGAATGAGCAGGTTGCAATGCTGAAGAAGCAGAGCAAGCCCAAGAAGCTCTTGTCAGTGGGTTCTGCTGGGATGTGGGGCCTTGCCAGGTATCTAACCATGTGGATTCCAGCCCTGCTAGGCAGGCATGTAGTTTGATTCAGCACGTCTCTTCTTAAGTTCCCTCAATCCCTCTCCTTTTCCTTTGGCCTCATGGCATATCCATTTAGTGCTTCTAGACAGACAGTGTGCTGTTTAATAGTCACCTTAGACCATCTCCATTCTTAAGTCTCAGTTTCTGGGCCTCTGAAGCCCTTTTCTTAATGTAAAGTCTGTTGGTTTCTACACTCAAGAATAAGATCCATATGAAGAGGTTGGTGGGACACTGGAAGAAGGGCTGCTGATACCAAAAGGGGAGCTTTGTCAGTCTGCTGCAGAAAGCATAACAGAGAACCTTAAAATCTAGGCTGCTGTGGTTCATGCATCTAAATGGGTTCATCTCCAAAGTGCTACAACACACATAATTTGTCACAAGGGCACTGTCCTCTTTAAGGCATAAGGAAGCCAGTGAAGTTCTGAGAAGAAAGAAGCATGTGTTGTGTGTGTCTCTATGATGGAGGCTGGTGACTTCTGTGTCAATTGGACATATCCATTCTGTATTTCACTCTGAACTGGGGAGGATCCATCCATGGTGCTGAAAGTACTTGGAAAGCAGTGTTCAGCACTGTTGATAGCTCCTTTAAAGTTCAGAGTAAAATCTGGAATAGACACACAAGCCTCCTGATGTTGGATCCACCAGCTGCAACTTGTGATCTGCCTTCCCTTCTTAGGTTAACAGTTGCCAACGCTCCAAAGGCACTTTATCGCCTTTCCCACCTTCTCAGCGTTCAGATGGTAATCTTCTTGCTTTTGCTGACAAAGCAGTTCAGAAGGAAAACAGATGCATAGAGTTGTGGGACACAGTGCAATAACACCGAAAGACCTGCTGAAATGGGTAATGGAAGGACAGTGGTGGACAGATGGAAAGGCAATTGCCACAGGCAGGATGAAAGCCCAGTCAAGATCTGTGCTTCTTGTTCCCACAAACTAAATGTAATTTTCAGGCTCCATAAAGGAGGACAGAAATCTTTTTGGCTCTCCAGTGCTAGAGTTGTCTTTTCTCCCTTTCCTGTCCAAAGCTGGCTCCCTTTTTTTTGAGGGAAAGGTGATGGAAGCTTATTGCCCATTGCCCTGCAATCACAGAATTGCTTTCCAACGGAAACTGGTCCCACACGATGGGCCATGCTGGATCTGTTATGGCATCCTTATAAGAGGAGGTCAAACCATCCTTTCTTTGGATGGTGAATTCCATTTCTTGTGACACTGATGAAAAGTATTGCATTGTACATTCCTCTAGAGCTTTCCCCCCCAATGTGGTACCCTTCAGAGGATCCGAGTGGCAACTCCCATCTTACACAGTCAGCAAGTGTCAACTGCTATGATGGGAGTTGCAATTCAGCCATTTGGAAGGTGCCAGCTTAGGGAAGACTACTCTGCAGGGATGAATGGTCACTGTTCAGTTACTGGAAGGAAGTTGGTACGTGGGGACAGACACTTGGTTTTGCAATGGAAAAGAATTCAGAATTCTCTCCCAACTTTGATTGTCCAGTCACTCCCATTCTTTTTCCTGAGAATGGTCCTTAGAATGGGGAATTTTGGAAAGAGCAAGTATTGCCAATACCTGATCACAGGTTTGAGGGTGTCTGGGTGAATTTTGACCTCACCAAATTGTCAACATTCACCTGCCTCAATTTGGTGCCCTACAAGTGGGGAGACAAAACGTGGGATGGGAAGATTTTGGCCCAGTGATGCAGCTGTTACTATTTAAGTGGCAAGCTAGACATTGGCCAGGTATGCGTGTTCACCTTTTCCCGACTTTAATGAAAAGCTTCCTTGCCAAACTGCAGAAATGCACAGGTGGAATACCTTTCTTGGCCCTAAGCGGCTATCATCTTATTTTGCACGTATCATGTTTTCTTTTTGTTTCTTCTTATATTTAGCTAATACTGGCACTAAAGAAACCACTGCTGATTTAATGGAGGACTAAAATATCAGGGAAGAGCCTTGAAATATTGATGTGTTTGTGGAACAAAAACAGCTTGTTACTTCTGGGCAGCTTTCTTCCTGTTACTCTGGGGGAAGCACAGCAGATGTGTGATGAAAGAAAAAAAGTATGTAATTGGAAAAACATGCATTAGATTAAGCGATAATCTTGGTAGTTCCCTCCATTCTGACACTGTGCTAAGAGCAAAGCTGACTGACAAATGGTTGATAACATATTTATTATTATTTCTGTGTTTATTCTCTAGCCTCAGACCATAAGACAGACTCTCCAGAGGACCCTGAAGCATTATGAGCGTCAAGTTATTGGGTAAGTAGAACCAATTTCTTCAAAACTAGAAAGAGTGCCTGCCTAGCTGGCAGGATGGATGAATGGATGGATGAATGAGTGGGTGGCAATAACAACAGAGGATTGCTAAGATAGCACCTCCTGGCAGGGTGGGACCCAATCCACCTGGGGAGCTTTTTTGCCCAAGCCCTCTGAAATGCCTGGGAAGTGCTCAAGAGCTTTTCTGTGGGTCCCATTACTTTCAACAGGGCTTCTCATCAGAGTGGATGATGTCCAAATATTTTGCTTGCCAGAACCCTCTTTGAAGGATATTTTAGGACAGTTTTTCCTGTATACCAATCATTCCAATTTGACATGTGACCTTTGTTCCTTTCTCTGTATTGGACATTTTATAACTTGGTCAGGAATGAATGAGAACATACAGAACTGAATCTTGTATCTGAATTAAAAAAATAAATAAACCCAAACCCTCATGGTCAATTAATAACTAGGGATAACCAGAAGTAATCTTGCATTACTTCCTGTATACATACCTGCGTTTATTATTTCTAAATGGCCTTCCATAACTAGGCTCTGTGCCTACTTGGTTCTTTATTTTATAGAATGCATTCTGCCTCATGGTCTCTGTTTAAGATCTTTGACTTAGGAAAACATGAGCTGCTATGTCAAAACAGAGCCCTTTGCAGTACTTCAGCTACTTCGTAAGTTGGGATTGCCCTGGGGCTTATGCCTCATCAGCACCTGGAGTCTTTGTTTTAATGCATGAAGTTTCTAGACCTTATGCTCCGAAATAAAAAATCGGAGTATATGGAAATTGCTGAAGCCAAAGGGTTGCTAAGCAGGACTTCCAGTGAGAGCAGATAGGGTGGACAGTAACCCTTGGTCTTTCTGTTGATTATCTGCAACAAAATAAGCACCAGTTTAGATGCAATGGATTCTTAGGAGCCTAACCAGTCACCCTGCCACCTCTGCCATGCACTCGTCCACCACCCTCCACCAGGGAGCCTTTTCCATCCAGAAACCTGTCTCCGAAATAGAGATGCCATCCACTTAACCTTCCAGGTTCGTAAGAATGAGTTTCAAGGAGCTTATTAACTATGATGCCAGCAAAGCACAGAGCCCCCCTTCCACCACCTTCTCCATCCCTTCAGCCTAACTTACTGACAGCAATGGGGAGCTACAGGAAGAGGGAAGGAATGGAAGTCTTGCTGTTTTGATCCTCTCTGGCACCAGGCAGCAAGTGGATCCTGTGGAATGTAGTTTGCAGCATCCCTTGGGGAAGCCCTTCGCCAGGGGCTATTTGCAGTGGACCGGCAGGGGAGGAATCACCCTGTCATTCTTCTCTCCTCCACTGCAAGAACTAGGAGGCTATTTGATCAGTCTCCTTGCCTCTTTTTGGTACTTCAAATTGGTATTTAATTAAGTTATCCTGTGTGGCACAGTGGTTAAAGTGCTGGACTGGAATTCAGGAGGTTCAGGTTCTAGTTCCCCATCAGACATGAAACTCAGTGGGTGACTTTAAGCCATTCACTGGCTTTCAGCCTAGCCTACCTCACAAGGTTGTTGTTGTGATAATAAAATGGAAAGGAATGGGAGAATTATGTAAGCTGCTCTGGGTGCCTTGCAGGGAAAAAGACAGGATATAAATACAATGAAAGAACAAATGAATGAATGAACAAGGAAAAAGAAAGCATGGTTTGACAAAAACAATAAGAGCAAAATCATTTCACTTATTTTAGCTAACACAATTATTTTCAGATATTAAGGGATATGAATCTGTTCTGATAACTGTTGTTTTGCAAACAATATAAGCTATATTTCTTGAGAAATCAGAAGACATAAAATTTAAAGGTAGATCAAATAACCACCAGATACACAATGAAAGAAAACATATTGCGCATTTGGAAGCAGGTTATTCTTTTTCCAACATTAAGTAAATGGGAGCTGTTGTTTTTTGCTTGGTTTTTTTAATAAAATTATTCTGTTCAGATGATCAGTGGGGAGCTGCATAGGCGAGAGGGTAGGAATTTAAGACTCAGCAGGGAGTGAATTCAGATTCACTTGGAAATCAGTTGAACCTCTTCCCAGCAGGCCAGCGGGGCTCACTTATCACAAGCTCAAAGACGGGTTGCATGTGCTCAATGGCAAGAAGAGACAAAGAATTGGACCGAGCCCTTTGTTTTCAGTTGCTGGTGTATACAAGTATTATTTGGAAGTCTGTTTTGTGAGGAGATGGTATCGGCAAGTGAATCCTACTGCATAGCCATATTGTTTACAATTTAATTTGCTTATGGCTGCTACAGTTGTACATGTCTTTGTGATTTCAGTAAAGTGGCCTGATCACTGCCTTGTCGTGGCGAAGGGCCTTGCGTAGCTCAATGAAACTATGAGCTAGGCTGTGCAGGGTTAGCCAAGACGGACAGGTCATAGCAGAGAGCTCTGACAAAACATGATCCACTGGAGAAGGAAATGGCAACCCACTCCAGTATCTTTGCCATGAAAACCCCATGGACAGTACCAAAAGGCAAAAAGATATGACGCCGGAAGATGAGCCCCTCAGGTCAGAAGGTGTCCAATATGCTACTGGGGAAGAGCAGAAGGCAAGTACTGGTAGCGCCAGAAAGAATGAAGCGACTTGGTCAAAGCCGAAAGGACACTCAGTTGCAGATGTATCTGGTGGTGAAATGAGAGTACGATGCTGTAAAGATCTATACTCCATAGGAACCTGGAATGTAAGATCCATGAATCAAGGCAAGCTGGACGTGGTGAAACAAGAGAGGGCAAGACTGAACATCGACATCTTAGGAATCAGTGAACTAAAATGGACAGGAATGGGTGAATTTAATTCAGATGATCATCAGGTTTACTACTGCGGGCAGGAATCCCTCAGAAGAAATGGAGTAGCCTTCATAGTCAGTAAAAGAGTAGGAAAAGCAGTACTGGGATACAATCTCCAAAATGAAAGAATGATCTCAGTTTGAATCCAAGGCAAACCATTGAACATCACAATAATCCAAGTCTATGCCCCAACCACTGGTGCTGAAGAGGCTGAAGTTGACCAGTTCTATGAAGGCCTACAACACCTTCTAGAATTAACTCCAAAAAATGATATCCTTATGGAGAATACAATGGTCATAGCAAACACTCTTTTCCAACAACCCAAGAGATGACTCTATCCATGGACACCACCAGACGGTCAACACAGGAATCAGATTGACTATGTGCTCTGCAGTCAGAGATGGAGAAGCTCTATACAGTCAGTAAAAACAAGACCAGGAGCTGACTGTGGCTCAGATTATGAGCTTCTTGTTGCAAAATTTAGGCTTAAATTGAAGAAAGTAGGGAAAAACACTAGGCCACTCAGGTATGACCTAAATCATATCCCTGATGAATATACAGTAGAGGTGACAAATAGATTTAAGGAATTAGATCTGATGAACAGAGTGCCTGAACAACTATGGACAGAGGTTCGCAACATTGTACAAGAGGTAGCAACTAAAGCCATCCCAAAGAAAAAGAAATGCAAGAAAGCAAAATGGCTATCTGAGGAAGCTTTACAAATAGCTGAGGAAAGAAGGGAAGCAAAAGGCAAGGGAGAAAGATACACCCAATTAAATGCAGAATTCCAGAGAATAGCTAGAAGAGATAAGAATGCCTTCTCAAATGAACAGTGCAAACAAGTAGAAGACAACAATAGAATAGGGAGGACCAGAGATCTCTTCAAGAAAATTGGGGATATGGAGGGAACGTTTCATGCAAAGATGGGCATGATAAAGGACCAAAATGGCAGGGACCTAACAGAGGCAGAAGAGAGTAAGAAGAGGTGGCAAGATTACACAGAAGAACTATACAAGAAAGAGCTTAACGTCCCTGATAACCACGATGGGGTGGTCACTGACCTCGAGCCAGACATCCTGGAACGTGAAGTCAAATGGGCCTTAGGAAGTCTGAGCAACAACAAAGCTAGTGGAGGTGACAATATTCCAGCTGAGCTATTCAAAATCCTAAAAGACGATGCAGTAAAAGTGCTACACTCAATATGCCAGCAAATTTGGAAAGCTCAACAGTGGCCACAGGATTGGAAAAGGTCAGTTTACATTCCGATCCCAAAGAAGGGCAATGCCAAAGAATGTTCAAACTACCGCACCATTGCACTCATTTCACATGCTAGCAAAGTTATGCTCAAAATCCTACAAGCTAGGCTTCTGCAGTATGTGGACTGAGAACTACCAGAAGTACAGGCAGGATTTCAAAGAGGGAGAGGAACAAGAGATCAAATTGCCAGCATATGCTAGATCATGGAGAAAGCTAGCGAGTTCCAGAAAAACATCTTCTGCTTCATTGACTATGCTAAAGCCTTTGATTGTGTGGATCACAACAAATTGTGGCAAGTTCTTAAAGAGATGGGAGTACCAGACCATATTATTTGTCTCTTGAAAAACCTATATGCAGGTCAAGAAGCAACAGTGAGAACTGGACACGGAACCACTGATTGGTTCAAAATTGAGAAAGGAGCTCGGCAAGGCTGTATACTGTTACCCTGTCTATTTAACTTATATGCAGAGCACATCATGAGAAAGGCGGGGCTAGATGAATCACCAGTTGGAATTAAGATTGCTGGGAGAAATATCAACAACCTCAGATATGCAGATGATACCACTCTAATGGCAGAAAGTGAAGAGGATCTAAAGAGAGAGTGCAAAAGGAGAGAGCGCAAAAGTTGGCTTGAGACTCAACATTAAGAAAACTAAGATCATGGCATCCGGTCCTCTCACTTCCTGGCAAATAGATGGGGAAGAAATGGAGGTAGTGACAGATTTTATTTTCCTGGGCTCCAAGATCACCACAGATGGGGACTGCAGCTAAGAAATTAAGACGCTTGCTCCTGGGGAGGAAAGCTATGGCAAATCTAGACAGCATACTAAAAAGCAGAGACATTACCCTGCCAACAAAAGTGCGTATAGTCAAGGCTATGCTTTTCCCATTTGTATGGCTGTGAAAGCTGGACCATAAGAAAGGGT